TATATGTATATATATATATATATATATATATATATATATATATATATATATATATATATATATATATATATATATATATATATATATATATATATATAGAAGCAGATCCAGGCTGTACAGTCATCTCAGTTTTTTTTATTTTTTATTTTTTACATATTTTTTTTTATGCAGAAGAGAAAAATAATTTAAATAAGGTATGTAGTACAAGTAACCAAATTGTGGCGCTTCAAAAAATTATAGAAAATAGTAGCTGAGCCAAGCTCAAGCTTTTTGCAACTATGTTACGGAAATATTTCATTTGGAAAAATAAAATGCTTCATTGAAAAATCCATGATTTTAACGGGTTTTGTCTCACATGCCTATAAATTTTTGAAAGAATTTCAAACTTTTCGCAGCGCATCAAATGTCAAATGGCAAATCGACTGTAGCAACTGTAGCAAAAATCAATTTGTCATGTTTTGAAACAATTCTATACATACCCCCAATAATTTATTATATATTAAGTCTATTTAGCTGCAATCTTTTTATTAACAAGGAGGTCTTACATAGTGACTAAAAGCCAGCAAGCGAGAATCTGTAGCAAAAAAAAAAAATTGTGTAGCAAAGACAGAAATTGTTAAATACCCACTCTCTGTTTATAAAACTTTTTTAACAATATTTAACAATAATTAAAAGATTTTTATTAATTATAAAGACTAAATTAAATAGTCTGTTGGTTTCTTTATCTAGTCTAATATGAAAATGGTGAAACTTGTTTATGTTTATGAAAAATGATGAAATGTGTTTATTGCTGTTTACGATTACATTGCTGTTATTATTGAAGTAGTCAAACTTCTTAAAAATGTTTTAAAAAAATTATAGAATTTCTAAAGACAAACAGAAGAAAACACCTTGGATAAAATGTTTACTTTATTATATAATCTGATTGTCATCAAAACTTCAAAAAGGTTAAACTAAGATAACATTTTGCACAATTTTTCTCTCAGAGAGATTTTTAGTTTATTCTAAAATTGCAAGAAACGTTCTACTACTAATTTTTTTTTTAAATTTTGAAATTTCTTCTAGGAACTATTATTCTCTTTGACAAGGTGTATGTTGCAAAAATCTTATTATATCAGGGAGTTGCTATTTTTGGAAAACCAGTGAATTCTCTTATAATAACTTGTAATACAAGTTGTGTGTTTGATGGTCTTAAATTCTTTTGAAAATACTTTGAAAACCTGTAAACAAATAAATTCCTTATTTTTATGCGATTAATTTCATTTAACTCTAGAATCAGTAAGAGATTCAAAGCAAAGGCAATTATATGTGATAAAAATCCAACTCTAACATTTTATGAAAAACCTTGGTTAACTACAGATGGAATTCTTTTGATATTTGACTTTTGTCCACGTTATCAAAAACATACGAAATAATGAACTTAGAAAGCAACGGCTTTTTTTCTGATAATACTTACAATGCTTTTCTTAATCACCCTGAAACTTCTAACATCTTAAACATTAACAAGACTGGCGATTTTATAAAAAACTTGCTGTCACATAATGGAAAATTTTCAATATAAAAAGTGTGAACATATATTTCAGGTTTAATAATGATCAACAAGCAAAGATCTAAATGATAAACAAAGAAATTTTGTTTTGGATTTTGGCGATACAGCATTATGCGTAAAACATCAACACATGTCACAAATTATACATGTGAAGAAATAGTCTAGCTGATTAAAACTCTATTGAGAAAAATGCTTTTGTTACAAATTTTTTATGTTAAGAAAATTTGTTACAGAATTACTTCAAACAGAATTTCAGAAATTTAAGTAAAGTATCTGTAGACATATTTTTCAAGTGTTTATTGAAACCAAAGATATCTTTTGTTTACATTACATGTATTTTGAAATTATGATTTGCTTAGCGATATGAAATTTTGACCAGTATAATGTTTTATTTTTTAAACTTTGGTCAAGATCCAAAATCATTTGAAATAGGCTGATTAAAAAGTCCTTTTGATAATACTGTTGCTTTTCTTCAACTTGATTAAAGATAAAGTTTGTTTGACTTCCATATTCAATAGTTTTATGCTTTACTGTATTACTTTATTAAAATTGAGTGTTATCATCATAATATACTTTCCTATATTATTTTATTGAAAACCACTGAAAACTTTCTATACCAAAATCAAACAAAGAACTTTTAAAATGTCATTTTAAACAAAGAACCATCATATTAGGTTTGTCTTGTTAGGTTGACATTTATTCATTAACACTATTGTTTTTATTATTTGCTGAGATTTGTTAATTGTATCGTTGTTAATTGTAATATACCTGAAGTTTGCTGTTTTGGTATTTTAAAAACATTTCTTATTTATTTAAAGCAATATTAAAAGTTTGCTGTTTTGTAAAAGTTTGCTGTTTTGTAAAAGTTTGCTGTTTTGTAAAAGTTTGCTGTTTTGTAAAAGTTTGCTGTTTTGTAAAAGTTTGCTGTTTTGTAAAAGTTTGCTGTTTTGT